CGAAAGCAGGGGGATTACATCTCTTTGAATTTGATGGTTATACATTTGTGATATGAAAAAATGAAAGGTGATATGAATAACCTGTGTCCCGAATAGTTCAATCACTGATGTATGCAAATTTATTTATTTGGAAAAGAGTGGGAGTTCCACGCAATAAACAAACCTGCTATATTATATATACATTTATTATTTAAATTTATATACTTTTAAATCGAAACATAAATTAAAGTCACAAAAATAATTCACACAACTCTAAATAAATAATTTAAACCCACTCTGGTTGTCTAACCATTACTATTAAATTAAATATACAGAAGGCACAGATTACGTCACTATTTCTTTTTCACAATAAATCGTCTTTAACGTGGGAGTTGAGCGCGTGAAAATTTATCAATTACACTATGTCGAAAAAGTTGTCGAGGATTTCAATTGTTAAAAACAAAGAGGAAAAGATATTAAATTCCGTTAGCAACATGATATACGATCATTGTTTCATTCAGCAGATCTCTAAGATATTGGAAAAGCTTCAGAAGCAGATGTGTAGGATCACAAACACGTAACACGATTCCACATCACATAGCTGTGTGGATCCGCTGAGACGATGGTACTTTATTGGAAGTTCATTAAATTTAACCATCTAATTTTCACTAATTGCTATCTTTATTCAGAGAGATGAATAATTAATTGGTCCCCACTAAGACAGTCAATACAATGTAATTGATCACGAAATGCACGGATTTAACAAGAAGTGCACGACCTTCCGTTGATAGGGATCTTTACAAATCAAATTTGCTCCAAGATATTTTTTTTTTGTTCGCTTAAACAATTTTTTTCTTTCTACATTCGGGACACTAATGATTTGCACTAAGCAAGCAGCAAAATGCCAGGAAAAAAAAATTAATTGCGATGCACTCAAATCAGTTTGTTAATTTGAAGATCTTAAATGTACGTTTTGTTTGAGTGAACTAATATATTAAGGAATTGCAAAGACAGACGAGGATAAGATTTAAAGAATTACGGAGTACTTTTGATCTCGTGACAGAAGTATTCCAATTATTTTAAACAACTCGTTTAAAGTGTGCAACAATAAAATATTTTTTATACAGATTTGTAGAAATGAAACTAAACTTCCAGACTCCTCTTTTGTAAAACAAATCGATCACCCAGAAAATTAAAGTGTCATTCAAATTACAAACTCCTCTCATTGCTTAAGCTTCAATTAACGCTGTCTCTCCCTTCTCCTTTGTTTTTGGAAACAGTGAACAAGATCGCTGTACTGGTTAGCGATAGTGAAATATAATCCATTCTTAATGCTTTGTATATTGAAAAATATTTTTTTTAAATGTTAAGCATGCTAAGTATAACGTTGAAAAACAATTTTTTTTCTTGTTTCACTCTTTTTATTTTCATTCAAAAAATTAAGATGAATGGAGCTATGATTGTAGGTTGGCAAGAAATATAGAATTGTGTTTATAAAAACGCTTTATAAACCGCGAAGCGGTTTATAAAGAAGCGAATTTGTAAATTATTAAATGTATACATGTATACTGAAGCAAATAAAATACATGTATGTCAATATGCATATAAAGATTTGATTGCTTATTTTTTATTATGTTAATTTTCATATGGATTTGATGTCACACTGTAAAATTTTAAAATAAACTTTTCATTTCAAAATGACTTCAATTTGTAAAAAAAAGTTTGAAAAAAAAAAAAGTAACGTCAGGTGGATTGATACGTTTTTGACGCAAGTCATTGTGACGTAGGCAACCCATTTTATACGATATACATGTAAAGTAATTTTTTATCCATTCAAATACAGCGTTACAACCAGAATTAAATTTTTGCTTTGTATACTGAAAAATATTTTTTAAAATGTTAAGCATGCGAGGTATAATTGAAACACTATCTTTTTTTCTTGTTTCACTCTTTTATTTTCATTCAAAAAATAAAGATGAATGGAGCTATGATTGTAGGTTGGTAAGAAATATATAATTGTGTAAATTAAAAAAAAAGCTGCGGTTTATTTACTCTTTTTTTTTTCAAAATGCGTAATTTGATTTTTTAGGCATTTTTCCTGTCGAGAAAGCTAAATGATAAAGGCGGCACAGAACAGTTTCAAATATATAGTTTTTAAACCTAATGTATATTTCATACGTTTAGATTTATCATGCGGGTGTGACAGGTTGACAGGGAATGTTCACTCCTCGATGGCAGCTTATCCCCATCTTCGCCAGCTAAGGGTTGTCGGTCTATAACCTTTGGCTTGCGAAGATGCCTGATCCCAGGTGTTTTCTGGCAGTTCCGTGTTTGCTTATTGCTTAAATAATTTCTTGTGCACATAGAGAGCAGTAGTGCTAAAATTTATATAGGGTAATTTATTGCAACTTCTTTTCAAAGAAAAAAAAATAATAATAATAAACTATAAACTTAATTTATGATTTTTGTATGATTTACTTATATACTGAATTGATCCAACTAGGTATAAAATTGTACGAGGAACATGTTCAGACATCTTACTTGTGCCAATGTTTAAACTCTTCAAGTTTCTGACAAGTAGAGCTAAAATCAGTATTCTTCTGTAAAGAGAGTTGGGTTGAAAAATGTTGCTTGGAAGTTCTAATGATTCAGCATTATGCACAGTCATTGGTCTGTATTTCGTGTGGTAGCACAGGGCATTGGAATATAGCTAAATTACTGTCTTTGTCATTATTTGGACTCAATAAGAAAGTTCTGGAAACTCAATACGAAAATTGTACTCCTTAATGCTAGGGATGGGAATATGTTTATGCAAGGGATTTTGATCTGGAGGGATAAATGGACATTTAAATGGATAAAAAGGGTATTGCAAGTAAAAAGATGATGGAAGTTTAAACGGGTGAAACTATACCCATTTAAGGAGGCTGGGGGGTCAACAAATTAATTGCAAATTAACCACCAGATTTAACTCATTTTTTTTAATACGGTATCTTAAGCTGTCAACTATCATTTGACGAAGAAAAAATTCATATATTTTAGTTTTGAAATTTAATCATTTTTGTATATCTTTATAATTGGAGCTCTCCTTTTAAAGGAGATTGAAATAGTCTAGAAATGGCTGCCACCCCCAGCCTCTTTAATGTCTAATACTCACCAGGAAACAATAAAAAATGTACGATTCAATAATTGAAGGTTAAACAAAGATAATTAAATAATATTTAGTCTGGAATTTGGGGTGTAAATACATGTATACTATTCGTAGTATCATAAGAATCTAAATTTTATCAGATGTGAATTTAATATATAAAATATAATTGTAATCCTTGGTCTTAAAAGAAATCCTAGTTTGACCTCCCAGTTGATGAGCAGATAATAGCGTATTTTAAATTATTAAAAAGAATTTTTAAAAATCGCTCATATGTTCGTGTTACTCCTGTAAATCAATGTCAAAACACAGTTCTTCACTTAATTGTCCAAAATTTTGCTCATAAATGTAAATATGCCGTTTAAATCTCATAGTCTTGTTCTATTTATGTATAAAACCTTTCAATTATGTTATGTTTAACTTTTATTTTCGTAACAGATCAAGTTTTTTTTATGTTATGTTTAATTTTTCTTCAAAACGAATTATGAAGAAAAATAACAGTGAAAAAGCTCAAAAGTTCATCGAAACAGTAAAAATTGACAGCAAAACAAACACAGACTTCTTCGAACATCAAGGGTAGTATAAGTTACATAGAGGCCGCTCAACCGGTCACATATCCGCCATGTGGTACTCTTCATGATCAGACAAACGGTAGAATATGTAGACAATTTAGTATGAAACAAGCAAATTCAAAGAATTGTGGTCCCCCGCTTTCGGTGTCTTTGTGGGTGAGATATTATTTTTTAGGGTCAAGGTCAAAAGGTCAAAGTTATTGGTATCCCATGAAAGGTCTTGCCACAAAGAATACATATATTTAAAATATGAAAGTCCTAGTTTTACCGTTCAGAAGTTGTGGCCAAGGTTAAAGTATATAAAAAATAGTTAAAACTCCAAGGTCAAGGTCAAAGGGTCAAAGTTCTTGGTATGCAATGAAAGGTCTTCTCACAAGAATTACATACGTGAAGTAGAAAGCCCTAGCCCTTACTGTTTAAAAGTTATGGTCAAGGTTAAAGTTTTTTCAGAAGTACGTAAATCTCCAAGGTCAAGGTCAAAAGGTCAAAGTTGTTAGTGTCCAATGAAAGGTCTTGCCACAGAGAATACATATGTGAAATATAAAAGTCCTTGTGTTTACCGTTCAAAAGTTGTGACCAAGGTTATAATTTTTAAAAAGTAGTTAAAACTCCAAGGTCAAGGTCAAAAGGTCAACGTTCTTGTTATCCAATGAAAGGTCTTCTTACAGGAATAACATTTGTGAAGTATAAAAGCAATAGCCCTTACCGTTCAAAAATTATGGTCAGGGTTATAGTTTTTTCATAAGTACGTAAGGTCAAGGTCAAAAGGTCAAAGTTGTTGGTATCCAATGAAACGTCTTGTCCCAAAGAATAAATATGTGGAATATGAAAGTCCTAGTACTTACCATTCAAAAGTTATGGCCAAAGTAAAAGTTTGGAATTTTTTAGTAAAAGTTGGTCAAACTCCAAGGTCAAGGTCAAAAGGTCAAATTTGGTGGTACCCAAAGAAAGGTCTTATCACAAGGAATACACGTATGAAATATGAAAATCATAGCTCCACTAAATCAAAAGTTATGGGCAAGGTTAAAGTTTTTGTGACGATCAGACAAACGGACAGATGGACGGACGACAATTTAGTATGAAAATAATGTCCCCTCGCTTTCGCGAAAGCGGGGGACAAATAATGGCTTAACAATAAAACTTTAGTTAACGTTTGATTTGATGACGGATTGTACATGGGGTGTTCTAAACAAACTTAATATGATGAACAAAATATATTGTAGGTACATGTACACCGTATACGTTTGTGGTAAACCAGGTTATTCCAATAAAAACAACAACTATTACTGAGATAGATAATTGGCCTATCAAGCTTTCATTTTTGTTGTTGTTCGCTTTCAGATGCTGAAATTTAATTAGCTTCAGACCAAAGTAAGCACATCAGTAACGGAATCGTGTTATGATAAGAAGGGGAACTGTTAATGATCGCTCTCAATAGGGTATTTGTACGCGTCCAGCTCTTGTCTTCTCGAGTGTTTTTATTCAGTGATCGACTCTCATACCTAATCATTGTATATTACAGCCACAATTGATTGCCGTTCATTCAAGAATGCGGAGGAGACACTGATCTCGGGAACAGGAAGAAAGATCTAAAAGGCTGATCCCGATGGAAAATTTTACAGATTTAAACGACTTCCGTTTTTTCAAATATGTTGGAGACATAAAGGAAGTTCCATTATGGGAAATCCTTGTGAAGTCTATAATATATGGGATCATCACTATACTCTCTCTCATTGGAAATGTTTTGATAATTGTTATTGTCATGAACAACAAAACTATGAAGACTGTTACAAATTATTACATAGTGAATTTAGCCGTGGCGGATCTAATGGTCACATTAACTTGTACCTGGGTCACAGTGGTTGACAACCTTACCGAGGGGTGGACCCTTGGAGCATTCTTCTGCAAACTCAATACATTTACAAAAGGTAAGCATTAACTATAACGATGAAATCAATGGTTATTATTTTACCAACTGAAATATTTCACTTTAATTCGAAACCTGCTAGACCTAGATTTACGTCTCCGTATGAGTGAAAAATTTTCGAGAGGGACGTTAAACAACATGCAAAACAACTGATTTCATTTGAGGTCGCAACACATCTTTTTACACGTATATTAAAATTGTCATGGTAAAAATTTTGTATTTAGTTAGCTTTACAAAGTTAATTTAGACCCTAACAGAATGTTTCCACAAACAATTATGTCCTTTCCATTCTATATCCCAGAATAGGACTGTGACTTATCCACCTTTGGATCAAGAATTAATGTGTGCGACTAGATCCAAATGTCGTTGCTTTGTGGTCTTCAGAACTTGGAACCAAATTTTGCACAAAAAATCTCATAAAGACGAAATTTTCGGCTATTTAACTTTAGTTAATTACTGTGACGCACCTTTCTAAAGCCACCTGCCCAGCATGATGTTTCGTCTATTGTTTTTTATTCTTTGAAAATATGACCAGGACCACCTTAAAGACGAAAAACTCGATGGTGAGGCTGATTCATTTTTATATATACCCTCAAAGATTATTTATCTGTCTAAAATGTGTAATTTATCATAATTTGTAAATAAAAAGGTTACCAAGTTGCTATTTATATAAACATTTCAATGGAAAAATAATATCTTATGTCATCTTTCACCCGATACCAATGATGTAGTTTCTGATTAGAGGAACGACTGTTTTAGTATCCGAAAAGCCTTTCCCGCTATGTAAATACTTTTTGGAATTGGAGGATTCGCAGTTTTGAGTAAAAAAAAATCGAAATGTTATTTCAGAGTTTTTGATGCTAAATTCCTGGAAAGAGTTTTTTTCCTAATACATTTTGAAAATTATCTAGAGCTGCGATAATAACTGACGTCATTGTGTTCAAAGTTTTGTAATTAACCATTCGCCTTCGCTTTGATAACCGCCATATTTCTGTTTTTTCTGCTTCAATTTACATTGTTGCTGCTTAATGTAAAATAAAACATAATAAAAAAAATAGTTGTTAGTTCAATGTTCTTTTAAGTAACTGCCCTCCACTGCAATTCAAAGTGGCACGCCGTAAAATCATAATTGGAAACATAAACCAGTTTTTGGTCTGGAATGTAAAACAATGAAATAATACTTTTATCTATAGCTGTTATTATAGGGCAAGTGGTTCCGTAGTATTTTTTTTTTTGGTGTTCTTTCAATCGTCGTTAATAATCTTGTAAATAGGACAATAAGAAGCATAAAAATGCAAATGCACAAGGGAAAAAATAGCATCTGGTTTCCTGAACTTACTCAAGTAAAAAAGAAACCTCTCGGAATCATTAGAGCTACTTAACCAGTATCGTATTGCTTACAAAGACTTTCTCGCTTCTTACATATGTTTTCGTTTAAAAATACATCGATTCTGTACAGCTTGTTTTTCCATGTGAAGCCTCCTCTTGACTGTAATCACCTTCCTATTGACAGTGGTATATCTGTCATAGCAATAAGAGCAACACTCTACTAAACAACGGGCACCTATACAATCTGAATGTAAAGAGAGGGAAACAGTTGGAGCAACGGAGGAAGAACTGTCGCACCGTGCGTTTTAATGGACAAGCACGGTGAACAAAACATAATAAAAACGGTTACAAGCACGCACGCAATAAATATGATTTGAAACGAGTTATTTAGATAAAAAGTACATGTATTTTGTTTATGTATCCATCAGGATATTTAAGTTTCGTGTTTTTAAATTACGAATTAAAAATAAAATATTGAGTATGCCCAAAAAATTAATTGCGAAAATGAATAAGTATTATCAGATTCATGTGTTCACTGAAACCTATTTTCCAATATAACGGACTATTGAGTTGATTGGAATTGACAATAAACCGGTAGTCCTATTTAACGGTCTATTTAAGTCCAATGACGATGCTCATTAGAACATTATGTATGTGATCTTCTCTACTTATCCGAATTAAAATTTTAGAAAATATGGAGTAGATAACAATAACGTAAAGAAGAAATTATATCAATAATCAGTGTTCTTTTTTTATCAACAAAACAGACATAGCAACTATATCATATTTATGATAACATATTACCCCAAAAATTGAGCTTTTGAAATTTCTCAGATTCATCTATCAGTTTAGAAAAAGATGCTTCTAGGCCTTGAGCATCAGTCAAGTGCATAAAACATTCCCCCCTTTGAAGCATCTTCCGATCTTCTTAATAAATATATTCAATCATTATTAAACATAACATGAAACCTGCAATTTTCTCTCTGCAGAAAACTCCTTCTTTAAGTGTATGTCTACAATTACTAGTATCTAAAAGTTATTTTTTGACTTTCTTCTCGCAAAGAATGTCTCTTAATGTACGGAAACAAATCCATTACACCATTCCCCTGTGTAGCGTGCCTGAAGCATTTTTGATATCCATGGTTCATATCCAGCTTTTGAAATTCGCCTCTTTTTTCCTCCTTTCACCTGCAGATCAATTAGGAGACAAGTAAAATTGCCATTTTTCATGCACATATATACACATTTACTTTTTATTGCCAGGCGTTTTTTTTCCAACACTTAAAAAAAAAAAATCCAATCCCAGAAATTTCTTGACAAGCCAAAAAAAAAAAAAAAAAAAAAAACAAGCTAATTCAGAGAATTCGTGTCCCCCGCTTAACTGAATTTGTAGAATTATTAAATGTATACATGTATACTGAAGGAAATAAAATACATGTATGTCAATATGCATATAAAGATTTGATTGCTTATTATTTATTATGTGTATAGAAGATTTTTTTATATGGAATATTTATCACACTGTAATGATGATTTTATAACCTCATAAATTTTTCATTCTATCATTTAGTGAAAAAAAAGTATTTAAAAAAAAGAAAAAAAAGAAAGGTTCGACCGAGATTCGATCCCGGGACCTCTCATATTTGAAGCGAGAGACATAACCACTGGACCACGGAATCGCTTTACAAGGAGGGGAGTATATGCAGAACTGAAGTCACATACATGTATATATTCATGTTTTCATGTTCGGTATTCTCAAAATTTTACACAATCCATGGTGTTTGATTTATTTAGCCTTTATTAAACAGTTCTAATAGATGTAATAAGAACATAAAGTCCGCCGAGAACCTGTTTTATACGTGTAATGGTTAGGGCCATGGATATCGGCCTGGATAGCTCAGTCGGTAGAGCACCTGACTAGAGATGCAGGGGTCCCGGGTTCGATTCCCGGTCCAGTCATACATATTCTCCTTTCCTGTCACAGATTTGGTGCCATTGACCACCCCTGGAATTGCAGGTGAAAGTCCTGCCAGGGTCTAACAAGAATTTGGGTTGTGTCTTCGAGGGCGAAGACCATTTAAGGAGGGAGGAATGTAATGGTTTGGGCTGTGGATATCGGCCTGGATAGCTCAGTTGGTAGAGCACCTGACTTTTTTTTTCTCCTTTCCTGTTACAGATTTGGTGCCGTGCCATGCCCTGGAATTGACAGGTGAAAGACCTGCCAGGGATGAGCCTGGGTTGGGGTCTTTGGAGGGCCAAAGACCTTTAAGGAGGGAGGAATGTAATGGTTAGGGCCATGGATATCGGCCTGGATAGCTCAGTCGGTAGAGCACCTGACTAGAGATGCAGGGGTCCCGGGTTCGATTCCCGGTCCAGCCATACATTTTCTCCTTTCCTGTTACATACGCAATAACTCTCCTCATGCCCCTGCGCTAAAAATAGCGACATGTAATACTATAAATACTAATAAAACAAACGGGGCAGGGCACTTTGAGAGGGGCGAGAGACGTCCTAGGGAGTTTTGGTATAAAATTACATTGCATAAGTTCAAAATCTTCTTGAAATATCGCCCGGAAATGATAGTGTTACACACAGACAGAATGTATAAATTTACGACCTTGAACTTTGACCTTTTGACCTCAAAATCAATAGGGGTCTTCTTTAGGCCACAGGGAGTTGTTATGTAAAATTTCATTGCGATAGCTCAAATGGTTTTAGAGATATCGTATGGAAACGAAAGTGTTTTAACAGACAGAATTTGCTTATTTATGACCTTGACCTTTGACCTTTTGACCTCAAAATCAATAGGGGTCTTCTTTAACCATAGGGAGTTGCTATGCTAAATTTCATTGCAAAAGCTCAAAGGGTTCTCGAGATATCGTGTGGAAACGAAAGCGTTACAGACAGACAGAAAGACGGACGGACGGACGGACGGACGGACGGACAAACCCAAATTAATATCCCCCACTTTTCAAGCGGGGGACAAAAAACCCAATCTCGCCCAAACGTCAAAAACCTATTTCGTTTGGGGGGGGGTAGTGGTGACTTCTATTGCCTCAAATCTTTCACTTTTCATACCCATACTCATACCATATTCGCGTTTACCAGGGAGGGTCAGCGTTTTCCAGGGTAACTTTTTTCTTCTTTTAGTATATACATTTTTTAACCTGGTAAATTCCAGGGGGGGGGGGGTCCTGACCCCCGACCCCCTCTCTAGAGCGCATGATTGCTGTTTAACATTCAGAAATATGTTTAAAGCAAATATGCTGAAAGGGAAAGATTTGCTTGTTCGTTCAAATTGATAACAAAATTTGTAGTGGTGACTTCTATTGCCTCAAATCTTTCACTTTTCATACCCATTTCACACATATTCGCGTTTACCAGGGAGGGTCAGCGTTTTCCAGGGGGGGGGTCCATGGTAACTTTTTTCTTATTTTAGTACATACATTTTTTAACCTGGTAAATTCCAGGGGGGGGGGGGTCCTGACCCCCGACCCCCTCTCTAGATCCGCGCATGATTGCTGTTTAACACTTAGAAATATGTTTAAAGCAAGCTCAGTTGTACCAATGCTGAAAGGGAAAGATTTGCTTGTTCGTTCAAATTGATAACTACCCCTACTCTGATTTTTTTTTTTACGAAATCCTGGCTTACGATTGGTTGAATTTTTCACAAAAACATATAATATTATATTAACTTTGTTTGCAACCCATTTCACAGCTGGTGTTTTTTTTTTGTGACAAGACCTTTGGGTACCAACAATTTTATCCCTCGCCGTAAACTACCATACAGGGGCATCAGTGTTTCACAAGCACATCTTGTTTCTACATGATCATTTCAGCGTATCATAGAGATTTTAACATATGTGTTCCGGTGCCCGGTTTAACACATTAAAGTTGGTACTAAAACAAGTCAGTTAAGGATATGGGTGTTTAGATACAGCACCGGAGGACGTTTATTCATTATACCTCTAATCTTGAATGTCAGTAGTATTTTCCAAATGAGTGACCTATGTTAGAAATATTCACAAAAAAAAGGAAGTGAGTGTTATTTTCAAAACATTTTCCAATACTGACGCAGTATACCATAAATTTATTGCTAAATAATCATTAATCAAGCAATGTAAAATCTTTCCAAATCTGAATATGCTTTATAATCTGAATCTATACTACTTATTAAATCCTCCATTAGCCTCGTAGATTTAAAGGGAGGCAATTTAACCAAAAGTCTCTGATGAGACTGTAACGGTTATGTTTTTTACTAAAAATAAAGAAAAAATACCGCTCAGTCTTGGAAACTTTGAAACAAAATTAAATGGTACTTGGTATTGTCCTGATTTTTGAGTTTTTCCCCAACACTTATATTTATATTATCCTTGACAACACCAGAATAAAAAAATCAATAGTCAGAATTGTGAATCTGCCTTTGTTGTAGTCTATGATATAGTGTATCAAATTTTGATAAAATCGAACATAAACTATGAGATACCGTGTTTTGGAAAAATTTCGTTCAAAGATTAAAAAAAATTTAGTACCCATGGGAACACTGTTAATAATTTAAAAAAAAAGATCTATCATAATGTTATGCACCTTGGTCTAGTCCTCTTTTGTGCAGTTACATGTATATACCAAGAAATACTGTCCGACTTTTTAAAAAGAAATTCACAGAAATCCCTATTTTGAGTAACAATTTAACCTATTTAAAGGAATAAAAAGACCCCGATATCTCAGTGTTGTCTACTTGTGTATTAAGTAAATAGAGTGTTCCAAGGAACGCATGTGTCGCCTGCTTTTATCTACTTTAAAGATGTTACTTAATCTTAGAGTGGTCAGCTATTTATATGATACTAGCATACAGTATTTCATGCAGAAGAAAGAAATTCTAGCATGATAGTTCATCAGTGCACAAAACATCCACACATAGTATAAGACTGATAGATCTTTCAATCAAAAGAAAATATGATTCCCAACCCTACAAAGAATAATTAAGTTGAAATTATTATAAATAATTGTTTATCATTTACATATATTAATACGTGTGTTACAACGCACTTTGAAAAATTACGCACTTTGAAAAAAATTTTCAAAGTGCGTTAAAATTTGGGACCAAGTTAACGCACTTTGAAAAAAAGAATTTTTTTTTCAAAGTGCGTTAATATCGACCATATTAACGCATTTTGAAAAAATGTAAAGATTGATCAATATTCCTTCAAAATAATCGGTATGATAAATAACAGATCCTGGTTTGATAACTTTTTTATGATAAAGTCACTGTAGGACCTGAGATATTGACGTTTTAAATATTTAAGGTTTTGATAGAAGGATATGGAGATAACGAACAGTATTCAATCTCAACGTCCATTAAACAATATACAAAATAAGAGCAGAGCAAACACGGACCTCTGAAACATCAGAGGTGGGATCAGGTGCCATGGAGGAGTGAGCATCCCCTGCCGACCGGTCACACCCGCCGTGTGCTCGTTGTCATGATCAGGAAATAACGGAAAAAATAAAATAAAAGGGAAAATTAAAGGGTCTTGAAAAAAAGAGTGACGATTGTTTAAGTTCATTAATTCGTTTCTTCTTTTTTTTTTAAATTCTAGTCTTTGATAAGTACATGTAGATGTAAAGGTGTATAGGGGGCACTAACAGAGGACAGCTTCAAGCAACTTAGCATTTATCATAATAAAAAGGGGCCAATTTGATTGTCAAAACTAACAAAATTCTTTCTCTCTCATACGTTTTACTGTACTTAAAAATTTCTAGTTTTCATCTGTTTTAATTAACTCATTTATTATGGAAAGTTTTCAACGTCATACCAGTTAAGTAAATACATGATTATATGAATGCTTTAAGTATAGCGTAGACATCGAGACTGGACGAAGGGCCAGGGGAGGGGATGGGGGGCTAAGCCCCCACTTATTCTGGAAAGATATATATACATCGTATAAGCATTGAAAATGCAGGGTACCTTTTTAGGTTTATTGCTCCCCTCCCCCGTTTGTTACCGACACCTATGTATTGGAAAGATAAAGATTTGGACTGAAGGATCTTATACCCGTCTTCTCCTCTTTTCGACGGAAGTAAAATCAATTCATTTTAGAGGTTAGGGTTAGGCTTAGTTTTTTGAAAGATAAATAACAAATAAAATCTTTCCATGACTAAAATATAATTTTTTTTTTCAAAGTACGTTAAGTGTCTCCACGGTAAAATATATTGATGTAGACTCTTAACGCACTTTGAAAAAATTTGGACCAACTCAACGCACTTTGAAAAATATTTTCAAAGTGCGTTGATTTTGTCCCAATTTTAACGCACTTTGAAAAATTTTTTCAAAATGCGTTGCCACATACGTGTTTCAAAGTCTTTTTATAAATTTTCTGAATATCACACAGTTTTAAACAACAGTACTATAAGCTCGCTAACATGTATAAATATTAATTATCAACACCTCGCCACTCAAAAATCTTAAGTTAAATTAAACTGTCCAGGATATCTTTGAAAAGTAGGTCAAAGGTCAACGTGAAGTGAATGTAGCTCTGGTATTTTTCATAATGTTTTCTGACGATCAGTGCACATGTTCAATAGGACGGAATTACCCCCTAAATGTCAAAAATATATTGTATATTGTATATTGGCACTTTTAAGTTTTTAATAAAGTAGGTCAAAGGACAAGGTCAAGGGTTAGGAGGTCGGTAACGATGGCAATTTACACATGTTATTTAACCAAGTAACTGTTATAAATTTGCAAAATATCAAGTCCATCTCTCTTACAGTTCTTGAGATACAAGGTGAGACGGACAGACAGACAGACGCCGGGTAATGTGATACGTATACCTTAGTGCCGCTCTGCTCTGCAGACGACACAAAAATGAAATAGGGCTTGAATTGAAAGAGCAGATAGTGTTTTGAAAGAATTTCTCCGAATTTCTATTTTTGTAACCAGGACAACGTTCAGTGTAGTCTACTAGTATTTATGTGCCATCTTATTTTGAAATTGGGTCAAAACTGTAGGAAGAGTAGGAAGAAATTTGCAGACAAAAAGCAACACTGATGACGGACATCTAGGTTATCGCATAAACCCTTCTGATCTCTGACCTGTCGAGATTAAAAAAAAATGTTTGAGCAACAGAATGTGGGTATTTTCGTTGTCGTTATTTAAAGTAGACCACATATTTTTAGATTTGATACCTCTCTATAGAAAATGCTTCAGGGGATTTCCATACATTTAATGGTAATGTTTTAATTAGTAGAATTACAAGGCAACACGTCGTAATATTTAATTTCTTTTTTTCCCTAGTTCTTTCCCTTGTGGCAAGTGTGCTCTCCCTAACACAGATTGCATATGATCGATTCTTTGGAATCGTCTTTGCATTGAGAGCGCGGATGACAGAAAGAAGAGCAAGTATTTCTCTGGTCATTATTTGGATTTTCTCAGTAATCGTGGGTATACCTGTGCTCTTCTTCCGACAACTAAAATCACGAGAATGGATGGACCATACAGAACTCTGGTGTGACGATAACTGGCCGGTTGAGATAGAAGTGGTGGCTAATGTCACAAGATACACAATGCCCTTAAGGACAGCTTACTTTGTGTCAGTTTCTGTGGTGCTGTATTTTATTCCAATGGTGGTAATGTCTATTGCGTATGGAGTCATTATACTTAAACTTAAGACGACGCATATTCCAGGAGAAATTATGGACAAAAGAGACGAACAGCAGGCTAAAACAAAGAGAAAGGTAAAATATAATAAATGCTCGTATTTTTCAGTACATGTTAATTAAATAAATATTACAAGTAAAACATCTATTTAGCAATTTAATTCTAATTAAAATTTTTAAAAGTCTCGGCAGCTCCTTCGGCTGAGAAAAAAATAATTCGAGGTTCGTACCGCAATAGGCGCGAGAAACGAGATTGATCCCTTACAGGTTAAAGGCCAATAAGACAACAGGTCTACATTTCGAGAATATTTCACTCATAGAAATGTCACATAAACCGGGGAAGGGCTTTAAATTTTGACCTTTACTCGGTACCGCATCTTTTACTTTACAGTGACGAGCGCATGGAGAAGGAACAATTCAATCTTTTTTTAACGACTTAAGTTTGTAGCACCAGAGATTCGAACTCACGACCTTCCGATCACGAAGCGAGCGGGTCGTCCGCGTGGCGCAGTGGTTTGAGCGTCTGCTCTGGAGTCGCGAAGTAAGGAGTTGATCCCTATGTCGCAAGTTCGAATCCCAGTGTCGGATGAGACCGTATAAACTGAGGTCCCGTGTCGCATTAGGTGCTGGCACGAAAAAGATCCCGCCCTGCTCAATGGTCCTGAGTGCCGAGTATAGGAAAAAATTTGCAGCTGTCCACCGGCAAATGGTGGCGTCTCCATGAGTGAAAAATTCTCGAAAAGGACGTTAAACAACATACAGACAAACGAAGCGAGCGCTCGACAAGGTTGAAGGTGAAAGGTTTCGAAGAGTCTAAGACGAAAAAAGCAATAAATCGCGAACCAAGATGTGTTTGTAAAACACTGATGCCACTGTACGAAAGTTTATGGCGAAGGTAAAGTTTTCCAAATGCAAAACAAACTCCAAGGTCAAAAGCGTTGGTATCCAAAGGAAGGTATTGTCATGATATAATAAACCATGAAATATGAAACTCCTAGCACCAACTACATGTATTCAAAATTTATAGCCAAGGATTAAATTTTGGTGAAAGAGGACCAAACTCAAATATCAAGGCTAAGCGTCAAATTTGTGGTATCCAAAGTAAGACCGTGTCACAAGGAATACACTTATAGAATACGAAAGCCATTGCCCCACCCACTGAAAAGTTGTGGGAAAGATTCAAGTTTTTGCGGACAAACAGATTAACACACAGACGGGCGGACAGGGCAATACGGGGGCATAAAATCAATAAACAATACAAATTTGTGAACAGGGCATGAACATAAAATTCAGGGACCTTTTTCACAAAGAATCTTACGACTAAGACAAAATTTGTCCCATTCCCCAAGTATCTAAACTGTAGTAAGACATCAAAAATTCTTATATATGCATCTCTTACATTAAGTTATTTAGTAAAAATATTTAAGAAAAAAAAAATAAATGTATTTATTAAACATATTAAAAATTACAGACATGGCATCATCTTACTCATGAGATTGTTTTTATGAAAAAGGGACACATATGTGGATGGGGTGCCTAGGAGAAGCATCCCTTGCTGACCGACCACACCCACCGAGAAGAGACATCGATCTGAAGAATTTAAAAAAAATAGTTCTTTGAGAATTTCTGTGTAATCAACTTATCCTGAGGCCCATCTGTTACCTACTATAAAGTCTGTATACCCCGAGACCCCAAAAATGCTCACACGTTTCAGCATTTGATGACTTAGTCCTCCTCATAGTTGGCACACTGTATAACTCTTAACATGATATCATTTAAATCAGTTTTAAAGAAATCACTCCCTTTGTTGGATCCTTGGACATTTTTCACATTAATTCTAATCTTGAGATTTTCTTAAGCAACCGCCATTTTTTAAAATTTTTTAATGACGCAAATCTCCATTCAAGGACATTATAAAAACAAATTTTTATCAACAATCATTAAAATTAACAAGCTATATCATGGTTTCAAAGTAAAATGAATAAGTTTTACGGCAGAGATTTTAATTTTGGATCGACTTTCATTTCGTGCGATTTCTTTTTCATATACTACTACTTATTTGACTATACTACAACAGAAAGTGGGAAGCCAACTGGTCTTTTAATAAACAAGAGGCCCATGGGCCTTATAAGTCACATGAGGATCATGCAACAACTTTCAAATGATTGAATTTGGTTCATGTTTTAAGCTAGATGCTATGGCATTCACAATTTTGAAAGAGGCACATAGCTAATCATAACCATACACTTAGCAATTGTTTAGTTTGTTTACTTAATACCCATAAGCAGGGTAGGGGAAGAAAAATGTGTGTCAACTAATCAGTAATATTTAGCAATAATCAGGAGTGCTCCTACCACACATGAACCCCAGACCCTAGGTCTACACATTTCACAGTTTTTGAAAATACACACTTGCTTATCAAAAAAAGTTTGGTTAATACTAAGGAGCAGATTTCAAACAATTCATTTTCAGTATATAAGTAGAGCCCCCCCCCCCTTTGGTATCCTTGACCCAGGGGCCTTGAAATTCACAGATCTGGAAGAAGAGCCCTTGCACATCATAAATATATAAATAGTTCATCTGCTTATTACCCAGGAGTAGAGAAAAAGATTTTCATAGATGTAATGTATTTTCACTATATAATCATTATAGAGCCACACCGTAACACCGTAACCCCTGACCATGGGGCCATAAAATTCACAATTTTGGTAAGAGCATTCTTGTTCATCATAACTATGTACTTAATTAGTTTATTTAGTACTCAGAAGCAGATAAGAAGCTTTTCAAGGAATAAATGCATTTTCACTATTAAATCAATAGAGCCCCGTCTTAACACCAGAACCCCTGACCCTGGGGCCATAAAATTCACAATTTTGGTAGAGGCACTCTTGCTCATCATAACTATGTACTTAGTTTATTTAATACCTAGGAGCAGACAAGATTTTCAAAGATTGAATGCATTTTCACTATATAATCAATAAAGCCCCGCCCTAACACCATAACCCCTGACCCTGGGGCCAAATAATTCACAATTTTGGTAGAGGCACTCTTGCTTATCATAACTATGATCTTAATAAGTTTATTTAATACCCAGCAGCAGAGAAGAAGATTTTTAAAGAATTAATGCATTTTCACTATATAATCAATAGAGCACCGCCCTAACACCAGAACCCCTATCCCTGGGGCCATGAATTTCACAATTCGGTAGAGGACTCAATGCTGATTACAATCATACCTTAAAGATTGCACTAATTTTAGTGGTTTTGCCCCCCCCCCCCTTCAGGGGGGCAGGGACAACGAAATTCACAATTTTTGTTCCACTTCACCGAATAGATGCTATATGCCAAAATTGGTTGAAGTTGGTTCAGCGGCTTTAGAGAAGAAGCTGAAAATGTTAAAATGTTAACGCACGACGGACGACGACGTAGGAAAACGGATAGCAATAGTTTACTCAGGTGACCTAAAAAATTAGGTTCATTCTACCTATTCCCACTTTGTGAAAATCACGTAGAAAAAAGTAAGATTTTATGTGGGAATAGGTGGAATTTTGTGTAAACAAATAATTAACAGTGTTCTTAAATTTAGGTACTAAATTGCTTTTTCTTGCAAGAAATTTTTTTTATTTCAAAAATATGTCATATTTTCTCATAGATGTATTCATTATTTTCTGTCTTAAAATGTACAAAATACAGGTAAATCTAAACATCTATTGTTATTTGCAAGTGGGAATAGGTGGAATTGAAATTTTAAAAAGTGGGAATAGCTAGAAGACACCAAAAATTACAATCGGGAGTCTGTCCCCCTGATTCTACATGTCTGCTAAATCGTTAACATACATGTGACTGTTCCTTCGGCAAATGTCCGTCGCAAGAAGTGAGCGTCATGGGTCTGTAGGACGAGACCTAAAACCCGAGGTCCCAAGTAACAGTAGGCGTTCGCACCATAGAGAATCATCACTGCTAAATTGCCCTAAATACTGAGCAAAGGTTTAAATTTGAAGCTCTTCAACTGTACATGGTGACGGCTCTGTTTGGGTTTAAAAGTTATCAAATTCATTATGGGTTTTATAGCTTGATATCTGTTCGTTATGTCCATATTTCCACCCTTTGGACCAATATCTTGTTTACATTAGAATATTTAAATGCTTCTTTTGTTATAATAAGAAAAAATGTTTCAATAATGCGAAAATATCTCGCTTAAAAAAATATATAAGAATGTTTGTAAACAAAACTTAAGTCAAGCGAATTTCTGTTACAATTTTAATGCTGCAAGATTGTTGAAGACAATTTCACTTATTCTTTTTAGACTTGCCAATTTTTTTGCATTGAGGCATCATATTGATTAGATGCAAGCAATGAATCGTAGATTGGTTCTCGTTGACTCGTTTTACTAAGCCTAAGTACCATTCATCGTTAATAATTTGCATATTTTATTGTATTCAGAAGGGTATCTGGTCCTAGTTGATTGATGATTATGCAGATATAGTGTTATTGGAGCTTTTTGTTCGTTTTATCCAATTTCAACGTTTTTGGACCATCTAAATTAAAGGCCGATATGATTTTATGACTAGAAATCTGACTTTTCGATTAATTATAAAGTCAAAAGCGAACGTTGCATAAAACATCATAACGTACAGGAATTAAAGAAATAATGAACTTTCTCATATGAACGCGGTTCTATTAAAGGATCGATCTGTAGCTTATTTGATTAAGATTACATGTCAGTGTACATGTATACAAGTATTCGAGTAGGAAAAAAATCCTGAATAGGGAAAAATATTGGTAGGTATAAAAAAAAAAACAAGAGTTCCAGGGGCCACATCGCTCACCTGAGCACATCGGCTAGGAAAAAGCACAGATCAGTTCAGAACTGAAAAGTTTACTGGGGGGGGGGGGGGTCCTACCCTACCTACCCCAAAAGGCCATGATTTGAACAAATTTAGATCTTCAATACATGAGGATGCTTACATGTCAATATGACTAAACATAGATTTTCTGTTCTTGGGATTTTTCCTTTATTTTTCTATGTAAAACTTTGATCGACCTTTGTGGCCCCACTCTATCCATGGGGAGAGGGGT